CCCGCCTCGGCCTCCCAAAGTGCTGGGATTACAGGCTCGAGCCACCGCGCCCGGCCTTGTAGTATCTTCTTTAACCTACTATTTAAGGATGCATTGTTTAATTTCTCTATATTTGTGAATTTCCAAAAGTTAGTTCTGTTATTGATTTCTAATTTAATTCTATTGTGGTTAGAGAATATTCTTTGTATGATTTCAGTCCTTTTAATTCTACTGAGGTTTGTTTTGTAGCCTAACATATGATCCATTCTGGAGAATCTTCCATGTACAATTTAGAAGACTGTGTAGTATTGTGTTGTTGAGTGTTATTTGATGTCTGTTAGGTTTAGTAGGTTTATAATGCTTCCCAAGTCTTATATATCCTTATTGATTTTCTGCCAAATTTTTTTGAAACCTGCAGTTTTAAGACAGGTGAGAGGATTGCTTGAGTCAGAGTCTATCTCTGTTGCCCAGGCTGGAGTGCAGTGGAGTGATCATAGCTCACTATAACCTGGAACTCCTGGGCTCAAGTGATCTTCCCCTCTGCCCCAACAGCCTCCTGAGAAGCTAGGATTACAGGCATGCACCACTGCACCTGGCTAATATAATATCATTTGTGCAAATTTAAAATTTATTCACACAAAAATGCACAGGCTTCAGTAACACATATTACATCACTTATCTATAGCTGCTTACCAAATTACCCCGAAACTTAAACAGCAATAAACATTTCTTATCTCATGTGGCTTCTATGGGTCAGGAATTCTATGAATTTAGGAATTAATTCATAGAGAACAATTTAGGCGGGTGATCTTGGCTCAGGGTCTCTCATGCGTTGCACTCAATCCATCGGCCAGGGCTGCAATCATCTGGGGGTCCAACTGGGGCTGGAGGATCCATTTCCGAGATGACTCACTCCCATGGTTGGCCAGTCTTGGTGGCTGTCAGTGAGAGGCCTCAGTTCCTCACCATGAGGGCCTCTCCACAGGACTGCTTGGATATCCTCATGATAGCAGCTGGCTTCCCCCAGAGTGATCAATCCAAGAGGGAGCAAGGCGGTAGTTACACTGTTTTTATTTATTTATTTTATTTTTTTGACAGAGTCTCAGTCTGTTGCCCAGGCTGGACTGCAGTGGTACAATCTCAGCTCACTGCAACCTCTGCCTCCTGGGTTCAAGCAATTCCTGCCTTAACTCCTAAGTTGCTGTGACTATAGGCATGTACCACCATGCCCGGATAATTTTTGGGATTTTCTTGTTTGTTTGTTTGATTTTTGAGATGGAGTTTCGCTCTTCTGCCAATGCTGGAGTGCAGTGGTGTGATCTTGGCTCATTGCAATCTTGGTCCCCTGGGTTCAAGTGATTCTCAGCCTCCCGAGTAATTGGGATTATAGGCGCCTGCCACCACACCTGGCTAATTTTTTTATTTTTAGTAAAGACGGGATTTTGCCATGCTGGCCAGGCTGGTCTTGAACTCCTGACCTAGAGGTGATCCACCCACCTCGGCCTCCCAAAGTGTTAGGATTATAGGCATAAGCCACTACACTGAGCTGCTGCACTGTTTTTATTTTTCACTTTTTTGAGACGGAGCTCTGCTCTGTCACCCAGGCTGGCATGCAATGGTGCAATCTCGGCTCACTGCAACCTGAGCCTCCCGGGTTCAAGCAATTCTCCTGCCTCAGACTCCTGAGTAGCTGGGATTACAGGGTGCACCACCATGACCAGCTAATTTTTGTATTTTTAGTAGAGATGGTGTTTCACCACATTGGCCAGGCTGGTCTTGAACTCCTGACCTCGTGATCCGCCCACCTCGACCTCCCAAAGTGCTGAGATTACAGGTGTGAGCCACTTTGCCCAGCCTGCTGCACTGTTTTTATAACCTTGTTTCAGATGTTACACTGATGTTTCTGCCACATTCTGAGTGTGAAGGAAGTCACTAGGTCTGGCCCACACTCAAGGGAGGGAGATTAGGCTTCACCTTTTGAAGGCAGGAGTGTCCAAGAATTTGTGTACATGTATTACAACCATCATACATACTAATAAAATAATATAAGCCTGGACATGAGGACTCACACCTATAGTCCCAGCACTTTTGGAGGCTGAGGCAGGAGGGTTGTTTGAGGCCAGGAGCAATCCTCCTGCCTCAGCCTGGCCCAAGGCTGGCCCTTGGGGCTGCACTGACCTCATGTCATTAAACAAAGGTCTGTCATTCTTTTTATTACTGCACATTATTTTATAGTACGAAGATACCAAAATTTATTGAATGACTTCCCTAAGGACGGACATGCAGGTTGTTTCTACTTATCTTTCTTTTTCCCTTTCTCTGTGGTGGGCTGCATAGCTTTCTCACTGTACATCCACCTTTTTACTTCCTCTTTACTTATGTGGTCTCCCCTGGAGTTCAAGAATGGGGAACAAGGGACATGCAGGCTGGATCCGCCACAGGCAGAGGTCTCTCGAGGACAGCAGGAGCTGCTGTGGCAGGTTTGCTATCCCTTCAGCCTGCCTTCTCCTAACTAGCTCTTGGAGGATGTGATGCAACTTAGGAACACCATGGTTCTTGCCTTCAGAGACCTCAGGTCTAGCATGGGGACAGACGCATGAGTACCCCACGGGAGGCAGGCTAGCTTTGGGTGAGGGGTAGCCTTCCAAGTCCAGCTGATGGCTTGGGTTTCCATCCCACCCCACCACTTACCAGATGTTTGACACTGGGCAAGTTATTTCACCTTCCAGTATCTCAGTTCCCATATGTCTAAACTGAGCCTCTTTTTTTCTTAAAAGGTTGCTATGAGAAGTAAATAAGATGCTTAGCACAGTGCCTGACACACAGTAATCTATGAACATTGAACTGTTGGGAAACTAGCCAGCCTGTGGTCGTACCAATCACACAGGGACACATGGGCACTGGGCCCGCGGGATTTGAAGAAGTCTTTGCAATGAAAGGCGGAGACCTGAAGGATGGGCAGTACCTCCTGGCAGAGCTGGAGGAAGGTATTCTGGGGCATGGAAAGGTAAATGTAAATGCACTGAGTGGAAATGGGAGGCATATTTGGGGCATGGCGAATAGAACCCTGTGGCTGGAAGGTTAAGTTCATTGGCAAGGGGAGAGAAGGTCTTGCAGGGATGTAGGCAGGCAGCCTTCTGGCACAGAGGATGGAGGTTCGAGTCTTCTCCGTGGACTTGAACTCCAAAGCTGAAGTCACCATGGGACCACTGTCGAGGTTAGACATGGCCAGAAGGAAACTCCCTTCCCCGCCATCCTCCTGCCTTCTTCGACATGGGCCTCCTCCCAAGGCTTGGCCACTCCCAGCATCCAGCACCCCCACTCCTCAGCCGGGTTGGGAGGCAGGCGGAGGCTTTTCGCGGGGGCTGTGCCTGGTGGGCGGTTTTCCCAGAGCAGGGAGCAAAGCAGGACTGAGCTGGCGCCAGCTTCCTCGGATGTAGACATTGCTGACTGGCTGGCCAGCCTGAGCCAGCTAGCTTGAGCCCAGGGCCTCCTCAGGCACTGTGTTTCTGCTCTGCGGCATGTCACAGAGGGAGGCCAGCGGGCCACCAGCCATGCCAGGGGTGGGGGATAGCCGGACTCAGGTCAAAGCACGGTTGCTACCAGGCACTGACAGGAAGAGGAGCCGCCTCAGCAGGACAAGGCAGGACCCATGGGAAGAAAGAAGCTGGAGCAGCCAGAGGTGGAGCAGAGCTGCTCCTGGCCCTCAGGGGGCCCGGGCTCTTGGCAGGGTAAGGAAATCCTGGATCTGCAGAGGAATCCAGGGGAGGTAAGGGTTGGAGGGTGGGGAGATGTCACCTCCGATGGCAGAGCCTCACTCAGTATTACCATTCCGGCCCAAGAGAGGGGATGGTGGCCCCTTAGACTCCAAGGCACCATGCTTGGGGTGGATGGGACAGATCAGAGCTGAACTTAACCAGCGTGCAGCTCAGAGGGCTGGGCTAACTCACTTCTCTTGAGGAAACTGAGGCCTGGAAGAGGGATGTGGATTTCCCAAGGTCACTGAACAGCAGCCAGTGGCAGGACTGGGACTTCCGCCTGTGTGCTTTGACCTCTGATTCTGTGTCTTTCCTCTTTCCCGCAGCAGCCTCGTTATCTCAGGACCTGGCTAGGTCAAGGGTCAGCCCTCCCAAATAGGGTATAGCCCTGAACTCCCCCTGGCCCCAGCGCACCCTGATAAGCAGGATTCAGATTGGGTGTGGGACAGGACAAAGGCTGTGAGGAGGAATGAGTGGAGTAGCTGAGAGAACACAGGGCTCTGGGTTCTGAGCCAAGCTCTGCCATCTGCAGCCATCTGACCCCAGGCCAGGCCTTCCCCCAACTTCCTCAGCTGTAAAACGGGGTAGGGCTGAGGATGGCAAAGGCAGGCTGAGGCCCTCTGGTGCCTGCTGCCTGGCACCCTCCTACTCTGGTGGGAGACCATGAACTGGAATGCTCTCAGAAGTCAGGGTAGATGGGAGTCCAGGCCAGACGCACTCACTGGAGCCCTCTGTGCAGAGTGAGGCCAGTCCTGAGAACGCCGCGCGGGAGCGGAGCCGGGTCAGGACGCTGCGCCAGGCCTTCTCCGCCTTGCAGGCTGCTCTGCCTGCTGTGCCGCCCGACACCAAGCTCTCCAAGTTGGATGTGCTAGTGCTCGCCACCAGCTACATAGCCCACCTCACCTGCACGCTCGGCCATGAGTTGCCTGGCCCCCCCTGGCCACCCTTCCTGCGTGGACTCCGCTACTTGCACCCTCTCAAGGTAGGTCACAAGACCTGGGACTTGAGGGCAGATCTTCGTGGCCAGGGCCTTGGAGAAAGGGCTTGGCATTACTTATATTTGAGACAGGGACATTGGACTTGGTCCCCCTGCCCTGGGCAGAACTGACATCAGGGCCAATTTCTCCTGCTGTCTCAGAGGGAGAGGAGCCAAGGCTGGCCCTTGAAGCTGCAATGACCCTGGGTTTCTCATGGGGTGGTGGCTGGAAATGGCTTATGGGAATGTACCTCCTCTAAGAGGAGGGAAAACCTCTGGGGTTCTTAGAGTCATGAGGAAAAAAGGAGCAGCTTCCAAGTCTGGGGCCCGGGAAAGGAAATTCTACCAAGGAGAGTTCTAGATCCCCATGTGGCTTCACCCCATTGTGCCTGCCTTGGTGTTCTCTGGGTTTCTGTTGCAGGAGAGATCTGCCTTCTAGGAGAACAATGGTCTGAGAGACCATCATTCTAGAAGCAGCCAAGCTAGGGGGTTAGCAGGAAGCAGCACTGGGCAGGCATGCACCACTTGCCATGCTGCAACCTAGCTTCCCTAAACCTCAGTTTTATTACACGTAAAATAGAAGGCTAACATGAGCCTACTTCTCTTCCAGCATATAAAATGGAAAGTCTAATGAACATTAATCATCAATGCAATAACAGCTAACAGCTGAGTGCTAAAGATAGGCCAGGAGCTGGGTTAAGTACTTACTTTAGTGTATTTTTGTCTTTTAATCCATGCAAAAACCAAATGAGGATTACTTTACAGATGAGGAAACTGAAGCTTAGGAAGGTTATGAGGCTGAACGTGGTTTGAACCCAGGGGTGTCTGACTTCAGACCCCATGCTCACAGCCATTAAGCAGACACCAGGGACAGCGTCATAAGGGGCTGGTTGAAGAGTGCACTGAGTTAAAAAGGAAGGGTCATCTTTGCCCTCTGAGAATAACATTGCAGTGATGTCAACTTTTTTATTTTATTATTTAGTTTTGGAGATGGAGTTTCACTCTTGCTGCCCAAGCTGGAGTGCAATGGTGCGATCTCAGCCCACTGCAAACTCGGCCCCCTGGGTTCAAGAGATGCTCATGCCTCAGCCTTCCAAGTAGCTGGGACCACAGGCACCTGCCACTACTCCTGGCTAATTTTTGTATTTTTAGTAGAGACGGGGCTTCATCATGTTGGCCAGGCTGGTCTCGAACTCCTGACCTCAGGCGATCCACCTGCCTCGGCCTCCCAAAGTGCTGGGATTACAGGTGTGAGGCACTGCACCTGGCCTATTTATTTATTTATTTACTTATTTTTGAGACAGGTTCCCACTTGGTTGCCCAGGCTGGAGTGCAGTAGTGCAATCATAGCTTACTGTAACCTCGAAATCCTGGGTTCAAGAAATCCTCCCGCCTCAGCTTCCTGAAATCCTCCCACTTCAGCTTCTCCAGTAGCTGGGACTACAAGCGTGTGCCACCATGCCTGGCTAATTTTTTTTTTTTTTTTTTTTTTTTTTAGTAAAGACAGGGTCTCACTGTTCCACAGGCTGGTCTCAAACTTTAAGCTCAAGCAGGCCTCTCACCTTTCAATTTTATTTTTATGATACTTTTTACCATCTCTTACGCCTACATGTCATAGTTCTGAAATGTCTTTAAACTTGGTTTTTTTTTCTTTAATGCAACTATAGCTAAAATGTATGAATTTGAGACTAAGTGGGGGAACTGTGAAGTGTCAATGGTGGTGCAGGCTTCTGGGGTGGTATAGTGGTTTCCTTAGCTGTAAAATAGTGACCAAGGCAAGGCCCTTGCTTGTAGTAGGTGATCAACAGCTATGCTGAAGAATGAAGGCCCGGTTAGGTCCAGCACTCCAGCACATCCACAAGGTGGGGCATTTGGCCAGGAAGCAGCTCCCTGAGCCCCCAGGTGGAAGAGTTGTGGAGAGGAGGGCAGACTTCGGGGAAGTCAACCTGGTGTCTTCTGAGACTACTTAGGCTCCTGCTGGAAGGATGGACAATCTTTGGAGGACCCAGCTTGGAGTTTTCCCTGGCTCTGCTGCTCTGCCCATTGCCCAGCCTCTGGCTGTTGCCAGCTCTGCCTAGGCTACCTGATCTGTCCATCTCCCTCCCAACAGAGAGCTGCTCTTCTTAGGGCCCTCTCCTTCCTCAGATGGCTCCTCCTGCGTCTCTCATCCAGGCCCTGGGTGATCAGGAGAATGTGTGGGGCTGTACATGGTGATGGCCCTGATCAGAGCAGTGATGGCTGGGGAAGGTGTCAGGGAGGGATGCTGGAGAAGGCTGGGTTTTGGGTGTCAGGGATCCTGGACCAAGAAGGGCTGCAATAGCAGCATTTCTCACTTCCCAATCTGTGTCTTGCAGAAGTGGCCGATGCGATCTCGTCTCTATGCTGGAGGCCTGGGGTATTCTGATCTTGACTCCACCACAGCAAGCACCCCCACCCAAAGAACAAGAGATGCAGAGGTGGGGTCCCAAGTCTCTGGAGAAGCAGGTGCTCTCCTTCCCACCACAGCACTCTCACCAGCTCTTGGTGACAAATAATTATCACACTCACCCTTTTCTCCTAAACTGTGACTCACTCATGCTTAGGGACCTGGATTTTCTGCCAGCCCCACCTGTCTTCACTCTGATTCTCAGCCATCGCAATTGACGCAGACTTAGCTCCCAAGTTGCAGCATGCAGATCAAGAGAAGCAGTGGCACTTCTGTGACAGTACCCAGAGGACACAGGATGGAGAGCTTCCTCCTTGGCCCCCAGGAGGGGACTTCCTCATGGCTCTTCTGTGACAGCTACTGGGAAGTGGGAGAGAAAGAGGTATAATTGGGCTCACAGTCAAGTTAGGGAACCATCCTAGCTTTCCTTCTCTAAGGTTTCTGCAAACCCTCTGCAGATAGCGAAAAGGCAGGTGCAGAGGGAGGGGCCTGGGATCGTACCAGCCCCAGGTGCTGATGGGAAAGTCAGGTGGCTGGATAGGCTTTTGGTAGCTGCAAGTGTAAACAGATCTGGGCTGGGTCACACAGCCAGAGGGGAAACTGAAGAAGGGTACTTTCTTTTTTTTTTAGAGGCAGGGTTTCACCATGTTGGCCAGGATGGTCTTGATCTCTTGACCTCATGATCCACCCACCTCAGCCTCCCAAAGTGTTGGGATTACAGGCGTGAGCCACAGCACCTGGCCGGGAATGTGCTTTCTAACTGCATCACAAGGTACTTACCTGGTGTTAGAGTAGTAGTGAGAAATTCAGGATTCCTGCCTCTGTAGTATGGGCCTCTCAAGCAGCTGCCCCTCGCCACTACATTTTCTCTCTCCTGGCTCCTGCTGCACTCTTCCACTCTTTTCTTTTCTTCTTCTTTCTTCTTCTTTCTTCTTTCTTCTTCTTCTTCCTCTTTTTTTTTTTT